TTTTTTTTTTTTTTTCAAAAATATGAATTTCCCAACTTGGCCCACTAAAAGCTAAGAGAAACACCAATAACCTAGCAGCAATGAACACAGTGCCTAGGTTGTGGTTTCTAAAAGCTATTCCCCATTAAATGGAACTAGTGCTCCTTGGAAGATTAGCTGATGCCCAAATCTAGGATAGGGTGTATGCTTATTAGCCTGGCACATCCTGCTATACAGAAAAAAGGAAGTAAGGAAGGAAGCTATCAAAAAGCAATGAGACTTGGGGCACCTGGGTGGCTCAGTTGGTTAAGTGTTCAACTCTTGATTTCGGCTCAGGTCATAATCTCATGGGTCATGCAGGAATTGAGCCCCATGTCGGGCTCTGTGCTATTAGCATGTAGCCTGCTTGGGATTCTCTTTCTCTCACTCTGCCCCTCCCTCATTTTGCTCTTTCTCACAATAAATAAAAATAAAACATAAAAAACAAAAAACAAAAAACCAACTAATGAATCTTGACAAAAGGACTCAGGAACCCACAGAGACAAAGACTCCAACTGGAGTCATTTAAAAACAGTATTCCAAGGCACCTGGGTGGCTGAGTGGGTTGATTGTCTGACTGTTGATTTCAGCTCAAGTCATGATCTCATACAGTTCAATAGTTTGAGTCACAGTGGGGCTCTGCACTGACAGCATGAAGCCTGCTTGTGATTCTTTCTCCCCCTCTCTCTCTCTCTGCCCCTCCTGTACCCTTGTACATGTGCTATCTCAAAATAAATAAACTTAAAAAAAAAAGATTTTCTCTCTCCCCCTCTGCCCCTCCCCTGCTTGTGTGCACACATGCACACATGTGCTGTCTAATTAAAATTTTAAAATAGGAGCACCTGGGTGGCTTAGTTGGTTAAGGATCCGACTTTGGCTCAGGTTATGATCTCTCGGTTTGTGAGTTAGAGGCCCACATCAGGCTCTGTGCTGACAGCTCAGAGTCTGGAGCCTGCTTCAGACTCTGTCTCCCTCTCTCTCTGCCCCTCTCCTACTCATGCTCTGTCTCTCTCTCTCTCTCTCTCGAATAAACAAAAAATAATAAAAATAAAATAAAAAATAAAATAAAATACAGTATTCTACGGCTTTACCAGAAAGTTCTGCTTTTTTTTTTTTTTTTTTTTTAAGTTTATTTATCTATTTTGAGAGAGAGAGAGAGAGGGAGGGAGGGAGAGTGTGTTTTTGGGCATGTGCCTGTGTGAGTTGTGTCCATGAACAGGGGAGGGGCAGACAGAAAGGATCCCAAGCAAGCTCCACACTCAGCAGGGAGCCCAACGAGGAACTCCCTGAGAAGGACTCGATCCCACCACCCTGGGATCATGACCTGAGCTGAAATCAAGGGTTGGACGCTCAACTGACTGAGCTACTCAGGTGCCCTAGAAAGTTCTACTGCTTTAAATAAAAAACCAGGATTCTCGGGGTGCCTGGATGGCTCAGTCGATTAGGTGTCTGACTCTTGATTTCGGCTCAGGTCATGATCTCATGGTTTGTCGGATTGAGCCCCACGTCGGGCTCTGCTCTGACAACACCGAATCTGCCTGAGATTCTTTCTCACCCTCTCCCTTTGCCCCTTCCCAACTCTCGCACATGCACTTGTGTGCTCTCTCTCAAAATAAAGTTTAAAAACTAAGAATCTATACATTATCAATTTCATTTATAATTTTAAAAACTTGTTCAGATTAGTCTTTCCTGTATATTACCATGGCCTCTACGTATTAGAAATAAATCTCATAATGCCTGGAATTCTGTTCTATTCGTTACTATACCTCAGGGCCCCATTTATTGAATGAATGAATGGAATTGCTATAGGTAATGAGAGCTAAATAAAATTCAAAGACTATTTTATTTTACTTCAATGTAAAATGTATTTTCTTAAGCTAATATTAATGTCATATAACATTCTTACAGCTGTCTTACCCAGTGTCCTCCATTAATGCCAGAGTGATTCGAGAGAAGACTCGGTTCTGGGTGTGAGAACCAGTCATTGCTTCATTCTGAAAATCAAAAGATTTTAAATTAGAAGGCCAGATGTCTTGAAACTCCCAATAATTTCCATGATTACTTTGACGTATATGTAAAATGTCTCAAGTGTGAGAGGCTCACTTATTCACTTCAAGTAGTGAAATAAATAAGCCTTCCTTAATTAATTTATGTATCTATGTATCTATCTATCTATCATGACAAGACTGAAGCTTAAAGCAAAATCTGCTTTCTGCCTTAAATGACTATATTATGTACAATTTCCCAGAAGTGGCAGACAACCAGCATTTAGAACTCTGATGAATATGAAAATAACTATACATAAGCAGAAATGCTGTAAAAATATTGTAATATCTAGACAAAGTAAAGTGAGTGGTTGAGACAGATGCCCACAGAATATTAGAGGGGGTGAATATTGACCTGAATTTAATTAAAAAAAAAACAAAAAACGCTTTTATAACCTTCAACCTTATGATCACAGAAATACACATCAATATATAAAACAAGTATCACAGAATCATAGGATCAAAGAAGTTGCACGAGGGACCTAAAATGCCATCAAAGTCTACTGTCTACCCAGTGTTTTAATTCATATCATGTAATTCCTACAGCAGCTCTGATTATTCTTCAAATCCTTATGTTGAATACTGGATGGTCACCTCAAGTACTTTAATATCACTAAAAAAAATAGTTCAAGGATACAAAGTTGATTTCAGAGAAAGGCAACCATTAATGAAATTAATACTCTCATGTTTCTACTGCAAAAATAAATAAATTTTCATGTCTGGTCAATCTACAGTTTTCTTAAGAGAATCACTTGGGAAAATTGCTTAAGGAAAATAAAAGAACTAAAAGTCCCATGGGAGAAACAAGTGTAATGTGTCTTCCATAAGTTTCCATCACTATTATTTTGTGGTCACCTGGATAAGAATGGTCAGCAGAAGCATTAATTTCACTCCTTTGTAATTTTGCTAACTTGTATATAAGCTTAAAAATACACACACACACACAGACACTCTCTCTCTCTCTCTCTCTCTCTGAGCTAGAAATTCCATTTCCAGGGATTTATCTTTCTCTTTTTTAAAAATTTTTTTAATGTTTATTTTTGGGACAGAGAGAGACAGAGCACGAGCAGGCGAGGGGCAGACAGGGAGGGAGACACAGAATCTGAAGCAGGCTCCAGCCTCTGAGCTGTCAGCACAGAGCCCGACATGGGGCTCAAACTCATGAACCACACGATCATGACCTGAGCCAAGGTTGGACGCTTAACAAACTGAGTCACCCAGGCACCCCTATCTTTTCTATTTCTATGTAAATACATCTGACCTTGAGTTAACTTCCTAGTTCTGCTCTCCTGGAAACCTAAAAAAGGTGGAATGTCAACTGTGTCACCAGGTAACAGTGGTGTGATGCCTCAGGACATCACAGTAAATGATGGACTTGGTAAATGAACATGAATACTTGTTGGTAAGCCATAGCTTGGAACATCCCCATGTGCACAGATTCTTATGGGGATGTCACTTACAGAGATCTAGAAGTTATGTCTATGGAACTGTTAAAAATAAATATATTAGTCTTTATTTGAGACATAGTACTTCTAAGCCAGGCTGGTTCTTGCACCCCCCCTCGTATGGCCTTCTGCTCCTATATTTGAGCTGGAGTGCAGAGGGAGAGAGGCATGAATGACAGCCCCTAGACTGTTGTGTGGAGCACGAAAAAAATGCCTGACTTCTACCATGCTGGCATGCTGTGTCTTGTATCTTTCCAAGTAAATGTTTTTTCAATGACGCTTGTTAGGTCTTGTGAGTTTGAAGGCATGTTTAGTTGAACCTAAGAATACCCACTGAAATGCCACTCCTGAAAGATATCACAGATATAAAGTGCTCATCACAACATTTTTAAAATAATAAATTTTAAAGTGGCTGGCTGGCTCATGGTAGAATGTGTGACTCTTGATCTGGGCATTATAAGTTCAAGCCCCACATTGGATGCAGAGATCACTTAAAAATAAAATCTTAAGACATAAATAAAATAAAAAATTTAAAACACAGTTGTTCATTAACACAGGACTGTTGTTACATTCATATAACGAATCATGTTGGTTTATAATGACTTATCCCTGGATTTTAATATTTTGTGCAATGGAGCAACAGCAGCTAAATATAAAGTACACTAAGACAGCTGAAGATAGCAACAGAGGAATGCTGTGCATGATACCCATTTACTCCATGTTCTTCTACTTGGTTCAATATGACCAGAGGCTCTTAGAAGTGCTTATTGCATGATTCTAATTTTGTACATTTTGCTCTTGTCCCCATTACTCAATTTAGTCTGTGTTCCAACTACCATTGCTTTTTGTTGTTGTTTAAGGTAAAGAAATATTAGAGTAAATAAAGGAGTTTATTTACTGGAAATATGTTTAAAATTGATCTAGCACTTTATTGTGACTTACTGCTTTTGTTAGTGGCATGGTATTTGTTTTTCCCATGAGTCTTATTTTTAGTGTTCAATTTTGAAGAGGCTTTTTAGGAAAGCATACACTGCATTACATCAGGAGCACCTGTACTGCTTGGAAAAATGTCTAAGATATATTATGAAGTGGAAAATTGTTCATTAACATATGAATTCATTTAATGAAAAACCTGTGTGTTAGTGTGTGCATCTCTACATATACATAACATTCCTTGAAGCATATACAAAAAACTTAAATAGCGATTACATCTAGGGGCACCTGGGTGGCTCAACTGGTTGAGCATCAGACTTCAGCTCAGGTCATGATCTTGTGGTTCATGAGTTCAAGCCCTACATCGGACTCGCTGCTGTCAGTGCAGAGCCTGCTTTGGATCCTCTATCTCCCTCTCTCTGCCCCTCTTTCGCCTGTACGATCTCAAAAATAAATAAACATTAAAAAAAATAATAATGATTACATCTAAAAAGCCGGTCTGGAGAGCTGAAGGGGAAAAGAAACTTTAAGTTACCAAATGTTTTTAGGTTTACATAGAGTTCACCTAATGGAAAAGAAAGGGAAGTTGAAAAGAGGGGGAGGATTTATTTTAGTGGCTGCCTATCAAACACTGGAGTTTTAAAAAGAGGCAAGGAGTTAACCAAACAAAACAAAAACAACCCAAGGAGGTCAGTTAACATTCATTCTAGCTCACTACTGATTGGATCTTATTAATGAGAAACTGCTTGTTAAGAGAAAAAAGGGGCAACTGGGGGGCTCAGTCAGTTAAGGGACCGACACCTGATTTTGGCTCAGTTCATGATCTCACAGTTTGTGATACCTGGCCCCAAGATGGGCTCTGCGCTGACAGTGCAGAGCCTGCTTGGAATTCTCTCTCTCCCTCTCTCTCTGCACCACCCCAGGTTGCATGTGCACACTCTCTCTCTTTCTCAAAAATAAAACATAAACATAAAAAAATTACTTTTATTAAAAAAGAATTTCTTTCATTAAAGAAAAAATGCCTAGTAAAATTTTAAAATAAACTGACCTCTAATAACCGCTTTTCCCAATGGTTGAGCTCAGTGCCCATGCCACCTTGATTTTCGAGTTCCATTCCCTCCAGAATTGGACAGTTAAAATGTTTTCGCGCTTCATCCTAAGAATCAGAAAAAAAAATAATAAACCCTACAAAAGTACAATATAATAACGGCAGAGTCTATAACATAGATATGGTAAAGTAGCCATTAAAGAATTACTTTGGTGAGAAGTGAAAACATCTTTTAAAAATATGGTCTTTAATGTAATTAAATATATTTTGATACTATTACATTCCTCTGCTAGTAAATTCTCTTAACATTTTTTCCTCTATTTGAAGATTTTGTCACATATATTTCAAAAAAACTATAGACTAACACGATTGCCATTTATAACTATTATGTCAACAATGTTTTCAATGAAGGGATCAACTGCTCTTATTATAGATATAGTCTTGGAAGAAAAGTAAGTTCTTCATTAAAATACAATTTTGCTCATTTGGTTTTTCCTGTCTTTTAGTTAGAAATTTCCAGTGACAGGAGGGGTGCCCTGAGTGGCTCAGTCGGTTGGGTGTCCGACTTTGGCTCAGGTCATCACCTCTCCATTCGTGAGTTCGAGCCCCACATCAGGCTCTGTGCTGACAGCTGAGAGCCTGGAACCTGCTTTGGAGGTGCCCCTGCCCCACTCACACTCTGTCTCTCAAAAATGAATAAACGCTCAAAAAAAAATTTTTTTTTCAAGAAATTTTCAACGATAGGAAATATCCCAAGAACAGTGCAAAAATCCACAAGGCAGGGCACCTGGCTGGTTCAGTCAGTACAGCATGCAACTTTTGATCCTAGGATTGTGAATTTGAGCCCTGTGCTGGGGGTAGAGTTTATTTAAAAAATAAGAGGGTGGAATGGTTAATTTTATTAATTAAATGGTTAATTTAATAATAATTAAATGGTAAATTAGTTAGTGGTTAATTTTATTAACCATTGGCTTGGCTAGGCCACAGTGCCCAGATATTTGATCAAACATTATTCTGAATGTTTCAGTAAGGGTGTTTTGGGGTGAGATTAATAATTAAATTAGTAGACTTGAAGTAAAGCAGATTACCCTCCATAATACAGACAGGCCTCATCCAATCAGTTGAAGGCCTTAATAGAACAAAGACTGACTTTTCCTGAGCAAGAAGGAATTCTGCCAGCTTATTGCCTTTGGACTCAAAATGCAACTCTTTCCTGAGTGTCCAGCCTGCTAGCCTACTCCATCAGAGTTTGGAATCTCCAAACCTCCAATTGCACGAGCCATTTCTTTCAAATAAATTTTCTTCTCTCTCTCTCATTTCTAGCCCTATTTCTTGGGCAACACATTTTGTTGGCTCTATTTCTTTGGACAACCTTGACTAATATGGACTAGTATTGAAATGATCAGCAATTATACAAATAGCACCAGTCATCCTAAGAGGTATCATAGTAGAGGGACATTGGCTTAAAGCAGTAAGTAGAATGGAGCCATGAGAGTTATTGACAAATTTCCATTTCTTCAGATTTCTCTTGGCTTGTAGCTTTACTGTACTGCCTTTATATTAGTTTCCTTATTATAGGCTATGAAATTTACTTTTAAGTTCTTCAGCAATAATGATTAGTAGAGAAAAGACCATAAGAAATGAAAAGAGTAGATGGTTCATGAAACATGAAGAAGTTGGGTAATACATACGACAACACGAGGTGTTACTAGAAGATACACAGTGTGAGGAACTATCTTATTATCTCGAACATTCCATAATCTCTCCACCTTTCGAACTACTTTATCACTCCATTGATATAATCCAAGACTGCAATTAAAGAATAAAAGACAGTCATTTTGCAAATTCGTCACAGCTTTAAATAGTGAAAGTATTTATGAACATCAATATACAATTAAGATATTTGAGTTTACTATATACCAAATACTGCAACATACATGACAACATTTTCTAATCTTTTCAACCTGATGAGATTATCATCAATATTGTGCAGATAGAGATGGAAGGGTAGAGACAGGAAGTAACTTCTCAAGTTCACAAAGCTAATACTTTGCTCAGATGATGATGAATTACTCCCTTTTTTTTTTTTTTTAATTTTTTTTTTCAACGTTTATTTATTTTTTTTGGGACAGAGAGAGACAGAGCACGAACGGGGGAGAGGCAGAGAGAGAGGGAGACACAGAATCGGAAACAGGCTCCAGGCTCTGAGCCATCAGCCCAGAGCCCGACGCGGGGCTCGAACTCACGGACCGCAAGATCGTGACCTGGCTGAAGTCGGACGCTTAACCGACTGCGCCACCCAGGCGCCCCGAATTACTCCCTTTTAACACAAATTTTGGATAAAACAAAAGCAAGTCCAGAGACATATCCAAGCACATAAGGAAACTTAATAACAACAAAAAATGGCATTTAAAAAAAATGGCATTTTAATTTAGTGGGAAAGTACAATTTATTTATTAACTGTGATGTAACACTGGTTATCCATCTAGAAAAAAAAGTTAAATCCCTATTTCATCCCATATACAGAAATAAATTCCGAGAAGATGTCAGCAAAGATGGCAGACCTCTGAAAATTCTCTGTTCTTGAAAGCAGTGAGAAAAGTGGCAAAACGCCTTATCAACTTTTCAGAACTTTGGAAATTAACAAAGGCTTTCAGCAATCCAGGAAGTATTAAAAGAAAAAAAAGGATAGGAGTGCCTGGGAGGCTCAGTCAGTCAAGCGTCCAACTCTTGATTTCAGCTCAAGTCATGATCATGAGATCGAGCCCCTCACTGCTAGTGTGGAGCCTGCTTGGGATTCTCTCTCTCCCTCTCTCTCTCTGCCCCTCCCCTACTCTTGCATACACACTTGCTCTCAAAATAAACAACAAAAAAAAATTGTTTAAAAAATAGATAACTCTCAGTAAGAACTGCAAGCTTTGTGGCATTTTCCCATGCCTTGCCAGCCCTGAAAACTAACAGCCCGCAATCACAGTAAAAACCAGCAAACCTCGGGGCGCCTGGGTGGCGCAGTCGGTTAAGCGTCCGACTTCAGCCAGGTCACGATCTCGCGGTCCGTGAGTTCGAGCCCCGCGTCAGGATCTGGGCTGATGGCTCAGAGCCTGGAGCCTGTTTACGATTCTGTGTCTCCCTCTCTCTCTGCCCCTCCCCCGTTCATGCTCTGTCTCTCTCTGTCCCAAAAATAAATAAAAACGTGGAAAAAAAATTTAAAAAAAAAAAAACCAGCAAACCTGGCAGCCACTATAGAGGTGGTAGAATGGGGGTGACTGGAAGAACACATTAAAAACAGCCCCCATAATCCAACTCTATCTACAAGAAACACAGTTCAGACTCAAGGACACAAATAGGTTGAATGTACAAGAATTAAACAGATAATACCATGCAAACAGTACTCAAATGAGAGCTGGAACGACTACACCAGTATCAGACAAAATAGACCTTAAAACAAAAGTTGTTAGTAGAAATAAAGAGGGAAGTTCTATAATGATGAAAAGGTCAATCCACCCAGAAGATATAATAGTTATAAACATATATATACCTCACAAAAGAACCCCAAAATACATGAAGCAAAAATAAATTCCAAATGAATAAAAGCTATGAATGTAAAAAATTGAAATAATTTACTAGAAGACAGGAGAATATTTTTATAATCATTGGAGGGCAGGAATTTCTCAAGCAACAGAAGAAAAAAATAGATGAATTTAATGATATAAAAATTTTAAATTTTTCTATGAAAAAAATATTATAACGAAATAAGATAACTAAGTGGGACAAATATTTGCAACAAACATGAAAAAGGATTACTATCCCCCAATTATAAAGTACTCTTACAAAATCACTAGAAAAGGAAAAATAACCCAGGACTGGACAAAAGACATAAATAGGCTGTATACAAGTACAGAGGAAATTCAAATGGCTGAAACCTCAGTAGTAGTCCTAGAAGATACCATCTTTTACTCTCAGATTGGCCTTAAAAAAAAAAAAAAAATCTATAATATCCACTACTGGTAAGCATTTATATATCATTGGTGGGATATAATGACATCATTTATAATGGACATTAATTTTGATTTTTCCCCATAATCCATATCATTTTTTTCTGGCTTTTTTTCCCCCTAGATTACCTCAATCATCAACCCTATGAATCTCTCATTTTCACCAATAAAACAGAATAGAAAGAGGCTATATTTTCCCACTATTATTTTATGGAAATTTTAAACATACAAAATGTTGACAAAACTGCAAAGAGCACAGCTGCAGATCTAATAATCTTCACTTCGATTCTACAATTAACATTTTGTTTTATTTGTGTGTGTGTGTGTGTGTGTGTGTGTGTGTGTGTGTGTTGCCATATATCTGTTCATCTATCTATGCCTTGAAGATGCTATTTTTAATTCTTTTGATCTTTCTCCATAGCAAAGTAATGTTTAAACATCCATAGTGATCAAAGCCAGCAAGAAAACAGCTTTTACCTTATTAATAACTCCAAATATTCTCTTCATCATCTACATTTCAAGACAAATAGTTTCTCCAAATAAATAGGTTAGGGACAAATCCAACTCTTCATGTGTCTATCAACTGAATTTCCTATCATTCTATTATCTCCATTCATACTGTAAGATTTCCTGCTTTTGAGGAATATCCTGAATACAAGAAAGTACTGCAAATTATGAGCTTAACAATAGTTCTTTTTAAATATTTATTTATTTACTGAGGGGGAGGAGGGGAAGAGAGAGGGAGAGGGAGGGAGGGGGAGAGAGCAGGACCATGAGTGGGGAAGGAAGAGAGAGGGAGAGAGAGAATCCCAAGCAGGTCCCACACTCAGCACAGAGCCCAACATGGGGCTCAATCTCACAACTGTGAGATCATGACCTCAGCTGAAATCAAGAGTTGGACGCTTAACCCACTGAGCTACCCAGGCATCCCTTAACAAAAGTTCTTATGTGTGGGTATCTCTTTCTTAACTACATCACTATGTAGGTGATGCCTATCTCATCATTTATGTTTCTCATAAAGACCAAAATTCTTAGGAAAGACCAGACTCCTCCTACACCACCAAATGAACACAAACTATTTAAAGAAGGAAAATATCTATGTCCAATTAGAATTTGTTTCTTCACATGTACTCTAAAAAATATGATGAATAAAGTATTATCTGCTTCAATATTTAATTCTAGCTATTTTAATAGAGATCTCTGTAATTAAAGTAAAATATATACAAAGTAAACAAATTTGAAGTATAAGAATTAATGTTTTTTTTTTTGAGGTGAGGGTGGAGCAGAGAGAGAGGGAGAATCCCAACCAGGCTCCACACTGTCAGCACAGATCAAGCGGAGCTTGATCTCACAAACCTCAAAATCATGTCCTAAGCCAAAACCTAAGCTACTTAACCGACTGAGCCACCCAGGCACTCCAGGATTAATTAATTTTTAATTCCACATCCATATACCACTAATCTGATAAACATATGGAACAGTATAAGCACCCCCAGAAGGTTTTCTTGTGCTTCTTTCCAATCTATACTCAACTTCTCAACTTGTAGGTCATTTAACAGCTTGGCCCTTCTAGTAAAACCACTCATCCTTTATCATTGCTCTTTTTTAAAAACTACACAATGGGGCGCCTGGGTGGCGCAGTCGGTTAAGCGTCCGACTTCAGCCAGGTCACGATCTCACGGTCCGTGAGTTCGAGCCCCGCGTCAGGCTCGGAGCCTGGAGCCTGTTTCCGATTCTGTGTCTCCCTCTCTCTCTGCCCCTCCCCCGTTCATGCTCTGTCTCTGTCTGTCCCATAAATAAATAAAAACGTTGAAAAAAAAATTAAAAAAAAAAAAACTACACAAATGGACTGACTTCTTTTGTTCAACATTAGATCTGTGATATTAATATATGTTGTTGCATGTAACAATAGTATATTCTTTTTTAGTGCCTTGTAGTTTTCAATTATATGAATATATCATAATTTATTTATCCATGCTACAACAAAACTGCCATGAACATTCTTGTGCTTATCTTTTTGTGGACATATGCTCTTAGAGATTTGTATTTTATATAAATGAATGCAAATGGTTACAGATCTGTGACTGATACACTATAAAAAATTCTTGACACATTTTTTTTAGTGTTTCTTAATATTATTCATTTTTGGCCCTAACCCTCTAGATCACTGCTAATATGTTGTATTAAATACAGTATCAGTTTACATGTAAATATTGCCATGATAGGTGATAATTATTAAAAAAAAACAAAATATAGAGGCACCTGGATGGCTCAGTCAGTTAAGCTTCCGACTTTGGCTCAGGTCATGATCTCACGGTTCATGAGTGTGAGCCCCACTTCCGGCTCTGTGCTGACAGCTTAGAACCTGGAGGCTGCTTCAGATTCTGTGTCTCCCTCCCCCCTCTCTCTGCCCTTCTCCACTCATACTCTATCTCAAAAATAAACATTAATAAACAAACCAAAATATAACCAACTCATATTCTCCCATGGCCTGACTATACTGTACAGCAACACAAGTTACAATGTGGTGGAAAAGAGCTCTGCTGGCAAGAAGATTCCTGGCTCTTTGGGCAAGTCACTTAAGTTTCTGCATCTTAACTGCTTCATCTCTAAAATGAAAGGGTAAAGCTAAATGGCCTCTTTTATCCTGTTTTAATAGCTATAGTTTTTTTAGGCTAGCCATGAAGCCGCTATTATTTATGGCAACTATCATGCCATGAGTCTCAGATTCTAATCTTAGCACCCTCCTAAAAGAGAAGAACAAGAACAAAAAATAACAAATACCTATAATTAAAAGGTGGGAGACCATCTGCAAATCTTGAAGTTAGAGGATTTCCATCTTTATCATGGTAGAATGCAAATAGGCCAGCAGAGAAACCCTATAAAAAAAATTCAAAATGTCTCAGAGTGAAAAATATCAAGTCTGATTATACACATCATAACATGGTGCTATCAAAAGAGAACACTCATATAACCTTGTAAAAGCACCCAGCCAATACTTCTACTGAAATGTCATATATTGGAATTGGAAAAAAATTAAGTATTCCATCTAATGAATTTTAAATTTCAATTACTTGAAGGAATTGTAAGTTAAGGAATCCAAAGTAATAGTGACAATATTCTTTGGTACTGGCATAAATAAGAAATTTGTTTAAGAATATATTTACCACAGTCGATCCTCTTCACATGAACTCATTACATAAACTCTATAATTGCACCCAGGGTATATTACCATTGAGAACAACTGACAATACAGTTTAGAGTAGGAGGTGGACAATCAAGTATGCTCCCTAAGAGCACTCAAAAAATTCAGTCTTTGATCCAAAAGTACACACACTTAATACATATCTGTACTTAAAAAGACTGGAAGTGTGTGTGCATGTGTGTATGTACACTTAGGAAAAAAATAATGGAAACATATATCAAAATGTTAACTGTGGTTCTTCTGATGGTAGGGTAATGTGTAAAATAACTCATATTCCCCTAATTTTTTTACAATATGAATTTGTTACGTTTATAGTCACAATTTAAATACTATTTTTTTCAGAACCACTAATTAAACATTCCTTCAATGTTCAAGAAACTTAAAAAGGAGTTTATAATTTTGTTAATAAATGATGCTAAAGCACCGTTATGCCTTCGAATTATCTAAATTATATGTGGATAACATTTCATTAATAAAAATGAATACATTTTATGTATACATGGAAAGACTGGAAATTTCCCTCTATTTTATTCTTTACAATATATACAAATAAGTAAAACAATTTAACTTATAAAGCATTACCACATTCAAGAAGAAGGTATTGCTATCAATCATTCTAAATTACTGAATTAAATACTATTTTTAAGTCTTTAATTTTAATTTTAATGAGATAATGGATACTTCACATAAAGGTATTAAAATTCCTGTTCTCTATCCTTCACCTCCCAAAATAGATGAGAAAATAGGCAAAAAAAAAAAAAAAAATTATTGCCATTTGATATCTATTTCATTAGATTTCTTTTCTTGCTCTTTCCTAATCTAATACCTAAAACAAAACACTTCTGTGACTACTTCTTTATGTATGTTTCATACACTGAGAATATGCTATAGCTCATATCCAAATAGCTAACAATCAGAAACGATCACTTAATTAATCAATTTCTTTGGCAAATTTCTTTGCTTACACAACTGTGGCCTCTGTGTCATTCAAAGCTTGCCAAAATGATTAATGGAATCCAGGTTATTCTTTTATTCCTGAATTTCTTCTTCTTTTTTAATCTCTGAAGATGCAAAGGACACTTAATTGAGTCAGCTAAGAAAATCAAAATAGCTTTCAATATACAATTCACTGAAGTTATACAAAGCTTAAAATAGTGTAATTTGCCTCATCCTTTATAATATTCTAAATATACATTTTTTTCCCACTGTATCAGCTTGAACATTTTTCTAAGCACTCACATTTCAGAAGGTTTATTTGGTATTCAAAGCACCACAGGTAAGTGTAATTGATAGTTATGAACATACAAAACTTTATGGGGAATCTGTGTTAAACATTTCTTACCATCTTCCAGGATAGGCTTTGAGACTTAAGTTAATATTTAAAATTTCTTAGGTTTTTACAGTTTTTAAAATAATTCAAGGGGCGCCTGAGTGGCTCAGTCGGTTAAGCGTCCAACTTCAGCCAGGTCACGATCTCGCGGTCCGGGAGTTCGAGCCCCGCGTCAGGCTCTGGGCTGATGGCCCAGAGCCTGGAGCCTGTTTCCGATTCTGTGTCTCCCTCTCTCTCTGCCCCTCCCCCGCTCATGCTCTGTCTCTCTCTGTCCCAAAAATAAATAAACGTTGAAAAAAAAAAATTAAAAAAAAAAAAAAATTCAAATATATAAAAAGTAAAAAAAATATCCATAACAGAAACTTATGTATCCTCTTTAAGGCTATTTAAGATGTTAGTTTACCATATTTTCGGCAAACTTTTAAGAAATAAAACACTGCAGAGTAAATATTACTGAAGCTCCATTACCTAATCCTTTCTCCTCCTTCTTTTCCCAGAGGTAACCACTACACCTTGAAGTCACTGTGTATAACTTTCTTTTTTTTAAATGTTTGTTTGAGGTGGCGGGGAGGGAGAGAGATGGAGGGGCAGAGAGAAAGAGTGAGAGAGAGAGAATCCCACTGTCAGTGCAGAGCCCAATCCAGGGCTTGATCCTACGAACCGAAATGCGAGATCATGACTAGAGCTGAAATCAAGAGTCAGATACTTAACTGACTGAGCCACTCGGGTGTCCCAATGTACATAACTTTCATGCATTCTTTTATAGTCAATGGTATCTAGCTTTGAGACCCTTTGACTGCTAAAGTAAGTCTGAATACCTTCTTATACATGACTCAGCCAACTGTTTTTTTTTCTTTTCTGAATTGCCTGTTCATAACCTAATTTATCTCATGCCTGGGATCTCTGCATTCATGTTCATTTATATACCACATTTAAAATCTGCTGTTTCTCTCTGGTTCTCTCAACATCAAGTATCTATAGTTTTTAGCTCTTAGGAAGAATGAGTCTTGTTTCACCTCAATTAGCAGGTTCAGCTTATTTTTTTTAAAAATAAAAGAAAAACAGAGAATTCGTTTTAGAATCTTCTTACTTGAAGGATATAAATGTCTGGTTACATAGGTGTTTCAGTGAGTTATGTAATGTATTTGCTGATTTAAAGACTGAGGCTTGCATATTAAAGTCATACATGCTAGCTCACTAAGACTAATAAATAAAGGGTGCTTGGGTGGCTCAGTCAATTAAGCATCTGCCTCTTGATTTTGGCTCAGGTCATTATCTCATGGTTTGTGAGTTCAGGCCCCATGTCAGGCTCCACACAGAGTGGAGCCTGCTTGGGATTCTCTCTCTCTCTCTCTCTCTCTCTCTCTCTGTCTCTCTCTCTGTCCCCTTCTTCCCTGCACACACACTCTCTCTCTTTCTCTCTCTCAAAAATAAATAAATAAAAAAAAGACTAATAGATAACTGCCACTGATTTTATTATACCTTACTATATACAGCATGGTGCTATAGGATTTCTGTTTTGTCTTAATCTCCAAGAAAAAACTCCACTGTACTATGTACTACTGTTCTCTTCATTTTAACAGATGAATCTGAGGCTTATAAAGCTAAATAATTTGCATAAGATCCCAAATATTTTTAGTGGTAGAGCTAAGAAGACTCACACCCCTAAATCTGTGTGATCTATTGTCTCTCAATCACTGCATCTTACTGCCATCTATTTTCTAAATACATAAATGGCATCAAGAAACCATTTCCTAGGGTTTTAGATAACTTTTTAATTTCCCAGATATATTATAAAAGTTCACTATTTTGGACAAATTGGGGAAAAGGAAGGAGGGGTTCTGAATCAGTGTATGTAAATTTTAGAAAGCCTAAGCAGACCGAGAGGACTTTTGAAATCAGACCTCTGCAATAAGATCTAGAATTAGCATATCAGTTATCACTTTACAGGAAAGTGAATTTTTGTAAATTACTAAGTTTTTTTAAATTTTTTTTTAACGTTTATTCATTTTTTGATAGAGAGACAGAGCCGTGAGTGGGGGAAGGGCAGAGATCGAGGAGACACAGAATCCGAAGCAAGCTCCAGGCTCGGAACTGACAGCACAGACCTGGATGCGGGCTTCAATTCACTGACCGTGAAATCGCGATTGAGCTTAATTCGGACGGCTAACCATTAGATCAGCCTCACTCGTTTTCTTTTTTTTTAAAAAAAAATTTTTTTTTCAACGTTTATTTATTTTTGCGACAGAGAGAGACAGAGCAGACGGGGAGGGGCGAAGAGAGGGAGACACAGAATGGGAAACAGGCTCCGGCTCTGTACTATCAGCCCAGAGCCCCACGCGGGCTCGAACTCTCACGGGACTAATTTGTGATCGCGGGCTCATGAAGTCGGACACTTAACCAACTGCGCCACCCAGGCGCCCCTAAGTTTTCTTCTTAAGAACAGTAATCATTTTCTCAAAAATCCTATTACCAGAGACCTAGTCATCTAGGTTTTACTTACATAAATCTAAGAATCCAAAATTTAACGTATATATCAAAATAACAGCATAATAAACAGAAAATTAACGCATGAAGGAAAGAACAGTAATTAACAGCAAAATTTACCAGGGCATGAATAATCTCATGTTTTACTGTGGACAGCATCCCAATAAACTCCTGAGGCTGGGTAGAGATCATATTTGGACACAGGTTAGCATATCCTGCTATTGGCCTGTTAAAATAGACATTGAATTTTTTATTATATTCCAGAAAAATCAGTATTATGATATTTACTAACTTATACTTTTCTAAAAAAAAAAAAAAAAACAAACTGACTAGGTCAGAAAAATCTTTGCTAAATATCAAATGTCATTTTATACCATAATATCTAACTCACTATCTTATACTTTCAAGACATATACCTTTGTTTTCCTATGGTGTGGCTAATTAGTACCTGTCCTCACAAAAGTGAAGTTAATGTACATTTAAGTGTGAACTTGTAAAATATGTCAACATATACCAAAAGATAAGAATGGACTGAAAAACTTAAATTCTAACATGTTTTACTTGCAAAATCCAGATCTGATTTCAGCATTTCACTACATTTATAGGCACATGGGATGAGCAGGTAGGTGGAGAGGGACGCTAGGTATACAATAGGATAATAAGCAAATCATTCAGGTTGTTCAACCTTCTTATGCCCATCTTGCTATTCCCTTTCTCTGCCTGAACACTACCTTCATTCACATACAGATTTTTTATCTTCCCATCATCTTCTTTCATATTCTATACTTTCTAGAATCTATACAGTTCTATCACTTTCTGAGCCTCGAACCTGAGAGTCCAAGACCTGACTAGTACCCAATATAATTCAGTTAGTTACACCATGTACCTACCTGTCTTTCAAAAGCTGTGGCAAACAGACAACAGTAAGGACTCCAAAGTCCTTTCTCCCACCACTACCTCAACATTTTATCACAGAAATACCAAAAACTCACCAAAATGTAATCACTTTATACAAAGTAACATTTGCCTTAAGTAAAAAACATATGGTATATTTTGTTCATACTTGAAAACAACAGACTTATACTCAGAAAATAATTCACTTACCAAAACATTGCCACAGTGACCTCTAAAATATAAAATGGATATCACTGCCAGGCTTAAAACCCATCAGGGACTTCCTACAGCATTTAGAATAAAACATCCCTGTTTGCCTCTCCAATGCATTTCCTTTAGTTCTCATCTTCAAAAACAGCGTCCACTGAAGTGGCTTCTACCAAACAACAGGCACACATGGAATTTTCTAACATAAGTCTTCCTCAAACTCTTTATCTGGCTGAAGCCCATCAATGTTCAGGTTACACCTAAAGTTTCACTCTTTCAAAGAGGCCATCTGTGCTTAATTAATCTAAATTATGTTTCCCCCTTTGTTCTCTTTTATGCTATAGCACCCTTTTTTTCCCTATAAAGTATTGATCCTATTTTGAAATCACATTTATTTCTAAGTATATTTAATACCTGCCTGCCTCTGTAATTCCTATGTTCCATGAATGAGGCAGGTACATGGGTCTATTTTGTTCACTTAGTCTGCAAACACCATATTAGGCATTCAAGTATTCTTTGAATGAATTAATACGGCAGTTTTGAAGGAACGTTTCTTTCATCAAAAAGATTAAGAAAGAACAACTGCAGATACTGCTCTTTCTTCCAACATCAACATGCTCCTCAGAAAAAAACAATTATTTTCCCAGATATATGAGTAGCTTCAATTTCACTGATACAAAGAACATTTACTCTTTTAGTTACTCATTTATATCAAATGTGAACCAAAAGCTAAAGTGCTTTAAGAAAACATATCAGCAGTGCAAAAAACCCTGAAATATGAAATTAGGTTATGGGATTCTCATCTGTGTGAAGATTCCTGTGCTGGATTCTCTCACCAAAAGACAACTAGATACTTTAGGTGTTTTCAGCATTGTCAGATGCTGAAAGGAGATGAACTACTCTAGACCCATCTCAACCTGGGATTTTATATTCCTGTCCCCATTTTCCAAAGGAAGCCATTCCCTTCCTAATACATAAGGTTCACTTTAATGTGTCTTTTAAGAAAAGTAGTAAAAGCTCATTGTAAAAAGTTATATATCCAAATAACATAGATATGTATAAAGAAAAACATGAAAATTCCAGTTTACAACCTACCCCCCTACAGAGGTAACTGCTACTAACAGTTTGCCCAGAACTGAAGGGTTTCCCAGGATTTTCAGACAGGGAAGTCTTGGCCAAACTGGGATGGTTGGCAATTCTAATTATTTCTTTTTCCTTAGTACATTCAAGTATGTGTAATACACACACACACACACACACACACACACACACACACACACACAAACATGTAATCATATTATGTACATTGTTTTACAATATTCTTTGAAACTCAACAGTATTTTGAAAATGAGATTGTGTGTGTGTGTGTGTTCACAATCCATACAGTTTAGTTCAAATTAAGATAACCACTATTTTGCAGCACCACCATTATGAAGGCTTATTTCACAAAGACATCTACGTTAAGAAAGTATCTCATTTTATGAAGTAACTTAATTTATCATTCATTTAGCACTTCAAAATACCACATTTCCTGAGACATACTGAGACACTGTTAATTATAAAATATCATAAATTTAATTATACCTTCTCAGGAAAAAAGGAACACTCT